ACCTTAAAATGTTAATGCTCTCTTATCCTGCTTGTTTTAAATGGAGAGCATTTAGCAACTGTGTTTGGACTACCGTGGGGTGGGGGGTGAGGGGGGTACTGGCGATTTACCACAGCCCCATGCATAGGTCAGCAGGTCAAATACTATCAATGTTGTTTATTTTGATCTTCATTTTACTTTTCTTTTAATAGCTCTTATTTGTAGCTACCCTTTAGCTAACTTTCTTAAATTATTCGATCAAAATATCAACTATATTTTCTGGATGGTAACGTAGAAACACTCGAAGTCTGAGTCACATCTCTCAAACATTACTTCAAAAGTAATATAAAGTTGCACATGTCTATACGTAGATTTTTTTTTACTAGAATTCAAGGGGGCAAATTCTGGGAATCTGGAGAAACTGTTTGTTTAGCCTAATGCGGCGACAAGTTCCCAAGTCTAATTCCTCTACATCTACGTCCATCTCCTCTGCTGCTGAGCTGCTGTCAGTCGTGTAGCAATAATGTAGCATTAATTAAATATTAGCTTACATGGTATGTGCTAGTGTAGCGCTCACATCCTGCTAATACACACGTCAGATTTGGTCAGACGTAGAGACTCTTCGTGTCATACCTTTAATTATTTATTCAGATGAAGTGCTAGCACGCAGCGCAGCAGCCTCGGTTTCTTCTGTCATTTTATCCACATTCACGTATTTAGCTTGACGCTTCCATCCCAAGGTGCTCGCATAATTAAATTACATGGTTACACTGGTGCTCGAACCCATGACCCTCTGCATGTAATTTATCACCGTGTTCCCCAGAAAGTACTTGATCTTTGTTTGTTCTTCGGCACAGACTGTTATATGTGTTTTGTCTCCTGACGGTCTCTCACAGAACGGCCTTTTAGCAGCAAGAATGGTTCGTTAGCACAAACGATAGTGACTCCTCAGCTCCCCCGCTCCCCCTCCTCCCACTCCACCATCAACCTCCTGGTGGAATTCATATAATTGGAGAGAGTCAGAAGCTGGGGCAAATGGCACCAAATAAACAGTGTTAGCGTTAGTGTTAATTGCAGATTCCTCATTGTCTGTGCGCGGCAGCACGAGCGTTACAGAAACACTTAACCACCAGCTGACAGTGAGGGATTAATTGGATTCCTCCAATGAACATAATTAGACTGATAGTTGAAAGAGATGAAGCAGAGGTTTGTGAGTACAGCGGTGCAGTGGCAGTTCTAAGAATAACCCCTCTCTCTCAGCTGCTTCTGTTTCGAGCCCCCTCTGCAGCCCGGCCCCGTGTACGGCGCTAATGCTCTTATTCCTACAGTAGCTGTGAGGAAGTGGGAAAATCCCACAGTCAAAGGTTAGAAATAAATCACAGGTTTATGCTCACTAAGCTGGTTCTCTGGTCGTTGCTGGAAATCTCTCAGGCAATAACATTTTACATTTTTTGGTTAGGCAGTTTTTTCGCTGTGATTCTGAACAGGTGCCGACACAAACGTTTGTCTTTTTATGAGGGAGCAGCGAAAACGTATATGGCCTTGTTTACACGGCAAAGATATGATACTGTACAACTACGGTGGCGTCCAGATGTAGAGCGTTTACACGGATCAGGCACAGACAATATGTCTAGACAGTGCCGCAGAATACGACTCTGGTCCATTTAGTACATATGCCAGGCCTGTATGTGGCGCTGTGTCTACAAATTTCTAACATACAAACACTGGAAGAATTTGAACTGTAAGTTTGTAAAAATCATAAAAGAAGTTACAGAGCTTGTGTATAAAGCTAAGAAACTGTAAACAACCTTGAAAAAAAAACATGAGAAGATGGAGATGGGTAGCCAAGGTCAGAGGGAGAATGGTTTCTGCCGTTGTTGTTGTTGTGTGGCATTCAGCAGGGTTACTGGTGTAAAGGTGACAGGGAGGCGGGGTGACCGACCGTATCGGTTCACACACTTTTCAAACATCTGTACTCTGGGACCAGTATACGTCGAGGATGCAGTTCTCCGCCCCAACACCGCGTCTTGGTCTAAACACAAGGCCGACTCGGTATAGTCACCCCGCAAACAAGAGCTTCTGTCCAGTAGTATTTGTTTTAGAATGAGATGAAGTATTTGGACACAACCCCTGTCCCCAACCCATTGATAGCTATTAAACTCACTTATGGTCTGCGGCCCAGATGTATCTCTTAAAATTATTATTTTTTTAAATAGAGCCGAGTGTGTAGAACAGCACAGCAGATACTGACCTCGCCTGTTAAATCTTCAGAGAGCTGGAGACATCTGCGCAAATGTTGTTTCCATGGTGACCTGTCATGTTTCTGCCCAGCTCTGAACAGGAAAACAATGTTAGGTTTCTGACCTTAACCACAGACGGAAAGAGTTAACAAGCTGCTCTGACTGACAAGCAGCAGGCATCACAGGGTCGGCTGAGCAGAGCTGAGCAGAGCTGAGCCGCTGACAGCAGAGGGCTGAGGATCCTGACTCCTGCACCCGGGCTGTGAGGGACAGACTTGGCCTCCAAGCTAAAAGGGAGACAAAAGCCTCGGCTCAAAGCTGATCCTCCTCGGGGAGAGGCTGTGATGCGTGAGGGGTGGAATAAAATCAAGTGAAATGAAATCAGGAGTTGAGGTTGAGGCTGTGGTGAAGTGGAGATGACTGCTGAAGCCCTGAGGCGCCGCTCATCCCAGAGCTAGCTTTACCTTTTAGACCGTGCTTTAATTATGGCTGTCAAAGCATAAAATAACTCATCTAATTAATCGACGCCTAATCCTAGTCATTTTAACGCCCAGTTTACAC